TTGGACACTTCCAGGGATCCAGGGGCAGCCACAGCTTCTCTGGGCAACCTGTGCCAGGGCCTCCCCACCCTCCCAGGGAGGAATTTCATCCCAATATCCCATCTAACCCTGCCCTCTGGCAGTGTGAGACCATTCCCCCTTGTCCTGTCACTCCGTGCCCTTGTCCAAAGCCCCTCTCCAGCCCTGACCCTCCCAGCGCTCTGATCCTGCTCCTCTTCCCACCCTTTGGGTGCAAGTCTCCCTGCATCATCCCCTGGAAAATCCTCAACTCCCCCCCAGCCTACGGGACACCCCTGTGCCCCCCTTTGTGCCCCCTTTGTGCCCCCTTTGTGCCCCCCTTTGTGCCCCCTTTGTGCCCTCTCCCTCCCTTGTCCCTGGATTTCCTCCGCGCACCTTCCCCGTGCCCGCAGTTCGTGCGTGCCCCGCTCCGTGGATCCCCTCTCCACCCTCGCCCGTGCGTTCCCCTCTCCCAGCGCTGCCCGGGGGGGTCTCCCCGCATCCCGGGCCCCCTCCCCCGGTACCGGCCCCGGGCGGGGCGGCGGCGGCGGCCGCCAATGGGCGCGGGGGGGCGCGGCCCCGGGGCCGCCGCATTTATCGGCCGGGACGGGCCGGGACGAGCCGGGCGGCGGCGGAGCCGGGGCTGGGATCAGGATCGGGATCAGAATCAGGATGGAGCGGGCGGCGGTGCCGGGACCCGGGGCCGGTTCGGCGCTGGCCGCCTCGCTGGCCGAGGGGCTCATCAAGTCGCCGCGGCCGCTGATGAAGAAGCAGGCGGTGAAGCGGCACCACCACAAGCACAACCTCAAGCACCGCTACGAGTTCCTGGAGACGCTGGGGAAAGGCACCTACGGGAAGGTGAAGAAAGCCCGGGAGCGCTCCGGGAAGCTGGTAAGGATCCCCCCCTCCTGCATCCTCACCGTGCGCAGGTCCCTGAGCATCCCCCCCGCTCTGAGCAGCGTGGTCCCGGTGCATCCCCCTCCTTCCCGGTGCATCCCCCTCCTTCCCGGTGCATCCCCCTCCTTCCCGGTGCATCCCCCTCCTTCCCGGTGCATCTCCCCCGTCCTTGGTGCAACCCCCGTCACCCCGGTGCACCCTCCCCGCGTGCCGTCGGCCCCCGAGCATCCCCCCCCTGCTTCCCGCAGCCTGGCCCCGGTGCATCCCCCCTCCGGTGCTCCCCTTCCCACCCCGTCCCCGGCGCATCCTCCCGGTGCGGGACCCCCGAGCACCCCCCTCTCCGAGCAGCGTGTTGGCGGTGCATCCCCCCGCTCCGGTGCGTCCCCCCCTCCCCGTCCCGGTTCCTCCCGCCGCCCCCCGGTCCCCGCAGCCCCCGCCCGGCCCCGCTCCCGCCGCAGTGTGCGGGAGGCTGCGGCGCTGCCCCCCCGCCCCGTGCCGCAGGAGGGGGCACAGCGGTGCCGGGGGCAGCCCGGAGGGGCCTCGCCCCCCTTTCCTTGAGGGGCCGCAGCTCCTCTCGCCCACTTGACCGCGTCGGGCTTCCTGGGGGAAGGGCGGGCAGGTATCCGGCCGCCGAGAGCAAACACCGCACTCGAGTCTGAAGGGTTTTTCCCTTCCTCTCGCCCTGGGTCTGGGTTGGGTTCGCTGTTGGTTTTCACACGGTGTGGGGCACCCAGGGCCACGCCAGCACAGCCCAGCGTCTGTCCAAAATCCTGACTCACCCCAGCGACGCTGGAGCCAGCGGGGCTGTGCAGGGCACGGCTCGCAGCCTTCCACAGCGATCCCTCACCCCCGGGAATCCGGGATGCTGCTGTCCCGGCTGCCCCGTCCTCTGGGAATCTGCGGGGCTTCAAACTTGGACGCGATTTCTCAGCCCCGAGCACCCCGAGGTGTGGGATGGGACCCAAACAGGCGCTGTCCCACCGCCCTGACCACGGGGGAGCAGAGAGGTGACCTGTGAGCAGCAGGACTGGCCCGGACGGGCTGCCGGGGCTGAGCAGGGTGTGGGATCGGCTCCGTCCCGTCCCACAGAGGCACGTCAAGGAGAACGGCTGTAAATCTGAGAGGTTTTCTTGTGTAACGCGACAGCTCCTAATGAAGTCAGAGCTGCCGTTTCCATTAGCCTATCTGATTCTGGAGAAGCTGCTGTTTTGCTGCATAATCAGGGCCTTGAAATGCAGCTTCCACCCACAGAGCTTGAAGGATCCCTCCCCTCGGGATGGGCGAGATTTGGCTTTCCCTGTCTGCACCTAGCAAAGCTGGGAATCTTTGAACTTCCCGAAAACTCGCCCATCTGTGGAAGCCCCTTAGGACGGGAATCAGCGGCGCTGCTCTATTATAATGCAAATTCAGTACACAGGCCACTGACTCCTCGGTGAGATGGAGATAGTCAAAGGCTCTGCTAACTGGTACCTCCTCGGCCTGGCCCTGTAGGAACAGGAGACTTAACCACAAATCTCTCCTCTTCCCACAAATTCTTTCTTGTAGCACTCAGCATTTCCGGACCTGTTTAATCCGGAGGCTTATCCCGAGCTGGGTTGTTATTTGCTCCTTCCCTAAGTGGCTTTCACTTCCTAAACACCAAGGTGTGAGAGCAGGTAGGGGTTACCCCTCGTGGGATCCCACGCTACCAGCTGAGGCTGGGAAGCTGGAGCTGCTCCATGCTCGTGGGTTTAGCCTCTGGCTAATCAGAAGCTGCCTCTGTCAGAGCCACTGAATATTGAACCGTCTGGTTTTACCACCTGGATTCCTTTTTTCCCCTCTGGATTTTAACCAACCTACCTGGGCTCGGAGCAGGCTGAGCCTAAATCAGTTGGTAGGCAGCAGGGAAGTCCAGGCTCCCTCAGCTGAAGGATGTTTTGGGACTTCCACGAACATTTTTTTGTCCTGTAAAACCATTTTCTGGTCAGAGTTCCTTCAGCTGAAACGATGCTCGTGCCTTTTGGTGGGCGCTTCTGCTGAGTGCCCTTCCCAGTCCTTGGAAAAATGTTGTGCCCCTGTAACATCAGGTGGGGAGAGAGTTGCTGGTTCTTTTTCCTTTCCTTTTTTTTTTTTTTTCCCCTTTTCTTTTGCCCTGTGTCTTTTGGGGTTGAAGGCTCAGTAATGTGGGCCACAGGGGTGCAAAGTGGCTCCTGCCCCTGTTTGCATGGCACCATCTGGGCCCCTTTTTCTTTCCTCCCAGCCCGGTGTTTCTCCCAGCCTGGTTCCCAAGTCCTGGCCTGCAGCCAAGTCAGACAGAACAAGGGACCTCCCTTGGGACTCTCCTCGGTGTCAGAACTGTGTTTGTGGGCTCGTGGGGTGTCAGGAGAAGGCAGCACCTGGAATATTCCAGAGCAGCAAAGCCTCTTTTGATCTCCAGGCAGGGGCAAAGCCCAGTCTCTTCTGTACTGGGTTGTAATCCATATTTCATGGAGCATGAAATGCTGCCCTTACAGTCTGGAACAACTTCTGAAGTGCTGCCTGAGGTTGTAGCTTAATGCATCTTTCAGCAGCTGCTGAAAATACCTGTTCTGCCCCCAAAAAACTTCTAATTAAAAGCCTTTTTGACTTGGAAAGTGCTCCTGAGCTCCTAGAGGAAGGCTCCAGCAGGAATTCTTGGGCTGTTTCCCACAGGAGATTCTCCTCCTGGCACTGGTGGGGGGGGCTGTGGCTCTGCCTGTCCCTGAAGCTGCTGGTCCCTGTCCCCAGGGTGGCTGAGCAGGGGCTTCCCTGTCTCAAGGGGAGACCCTCTGCTGCCAGCCCGCCTAGAAAGGGAAAGTTTGGCAACAAAGCTGCTTCCTGGCACCCCTGGGGAAGGATGGGATGGCTGAGGGAGTGACAGGCAGATAAACCACCCCACCCTGGGCGGCTGATTCACTCTCTGGGGTGTGAGATGTGGACCCTCACAGTGCTGTGCCCTCCCTGTGCCCACCTGCCCGAGGGCAGAGCTCATGAGGGAGAGCCCTGGGGCTCTCACAGCACCCAAAACCCGCTCCCTGCTGCAGCTTTGCTCTGCCTGGAGGTCACTAAGTGCTGAGGATGTGCTCCAACACTGCTGGGTACAGCCAGTGGCATCTCCTGAGGCTTCCCACACTGGCAGCCCGGAGCCACTTGATCATTTAGGGATAGTGGATCATGCCCTGAGCCCTGGCTCAGCACTGGATGTGTGTGAGCAACCCAGCCAGCAAGGAAACGTTCTCTGTGCCCCCCAAAACACCGAGGCTGTTGGGTTGGGTGTCAGTCTTTAGCAGAGAGATGAATAGAGGGAGCCAGCAGGAATTTGGGAGGGCAGGAGCAGGCTGGCTCGCTGCATAAAAGCTTTGCCTGCCTTCTGGCAGGGGTCAGGTAACTGGGGCAGGAGGAAAAAATTGTTAAACTTTAAGCTGTTAACCTACACAAAGGTCAGGGGGAAAAAAACACCTGGGTTTCGAGAAGCATTAAACACTTTCAGTATTGTTTCATACGGAAACCTGGGCCTGGGTTATTGGACTTGTCCCTGGCCAGAGTCCATCCTGCTGCTTTGCTCCAGCCCCTGGGGCTGCTGCAGGTTCCTCCACGGCGCTGCCTGAGGTGGTTCAGTGCTGCAGAGATGGGCCCTGGGGCCAAAAAAGGGGCTCTATCCCTTCTGTGCCCACCTGAGCGCTCCCTGAGGGGGCTCCCCCCGTGAAGACACTGCTGTGGCAGCTGAGACCTCACTGATTCAGCCCCGGTGCCTTGCTTAGCGTGTCTAAGCCTGGCTTAGCCAGTCTGGGTTTGAGGAAAGAGGCTTCCAGCCCCCCTAAATCAGAGGGACACGAGGCTGAGCATCCACCCCGCTCCACCCGAGGAGGAGGAGGAGGAGGAGGGTCCCTGTGCAGCAGAGCCATGAGCATCACTCCTGTGCCGGCAGCTGGGGCCCGCGGGGGTCCGTGGCCCCTCTCCCCGTTGCTGGGAGACTGGTGCAGGGGGTCCCTTTACAGGATTAAAGCTGTTCCGCATTCTTGTCTGGGAGAAAAAAAAAGAGGTTCTGCTGGATTCAGTTGTAAATTCGACCCTAGGAGCACATTGTCTCTGCCCAGCCCCTTTGAAAGAGGATTAGAAGGCATCTATTCTCCGGCACTTACTCTTCTTTCTCCTCCCCTTTCTGTTTCCTTGTCGGGGATAATTTGAAAACCCGAGGGAGAGCCTGGTGCTGGGTCTCCCGCCCTGTGCCCGGGAGGGGATCTCCTCTTTAATCCCAACTTTCTCCTACCTCTACACCACCAGCTCCTCGGAATCGGTGTTTGCCAGGAAAACAAAACCCGGGTGTTGTGGGGTTTTTTTGTTTGGTTTGGTTTTTTTTTTTCATTGTCATGACCCTCAGAAGACGCTGTTGTTGTTTTTATCTCCCAAGTCATGCGTGCAGGTCGCATTCCTTTGGCTGGCCACGCTCCAGCAGCGGGACACGATTCCTGTGAGCCCAGAAAGGAGGAGCAGGGCTGTGCTACCTGCGGGAGGAGGGCTGGGGAGCCCCTCTGGTGGGAGCTGGCAGCAGGTGACCCTTGGGGGGGGTCACAAAAGGAAAGTGTAACCCCCAAATCGATCACAGAGCTGTTCCCATGGAGCTGGGCAGCTCCACTCTCGGACGCAGGCACGAGGAGGAGCTGGGTTGCTGAGATCTTATTTGTGAGCCCTTTCCCAAAGCAGTGGGGTGGGTTTCTTGCTCTGCCAGAGGCTTTGGGAAAGCACAGCCGGGTGACCCTCTGTGTCCCTCCACAGGTGGCCATCAAGTCCATCCGGAAGGACAAAATCAAGGATGAGCAGGACCTTGTCCACATCCGGAGGGAGATTGAGATCATGTCCTCCCTCAACCACCCCCACATCATCGCTGTGCACGAAGGTGAGCCCTCCTCCCCCTTCCCTCTTCCAGCAGCATCCTGGAAGCCCCACAGGGCTCCCAGGGCAGCTCCCAGGGTAGATTTGGCTCTACTGGGTGGGTTTGGGGATTTTAACCCAGCCCCTCGCCCCCCTCACAGGACCTGGCTGCCGGTTTTGGTGACTCAGCCCTGGTGGGGAAGGCAGGTGCTGCCTGGATGTGCTTTCCCCACCTGGCTTCTCCCACAGAGCAGCAGCGAGGGGAAAACCCCTGCTCCAGAACTGGCCCTTCTGCCCCATCCCCTCCTGCCCAGAGGGGGAATTCAGTTCCGAAAATTTCATTTCTTTCTTTCAAAAACGTTTCTTTTTGGAGCTGGAAGCCTCCTGAGAGGCTGTGCTGGGGTGGGAATCAGGGACCCCTGCAGAGCCCAGCACTGAGTGTGGTTGTGCTGGACACTCATCCCAGCTGTGGGAGCCTTGGGAATCTCCATAGCTCTGCTCTCAGCCCAAGGCAGGAGTTAATCTCAGTGCTGGAGTCCTCCTCTTTCCCTCCCCTGGGGCATTGGAAAACCAAACCACTGGGAGAGCTCCCGGTGCTCCCGGGCTTGGCTTTATGGCCTGGGCTGGGCTTTGCTCCCGGGGTGTTGGGACAACACCAACCAAAGGGGAATTTCTCAAGCTCTAACTAGGACCAGACTTAGCCCAAATCCCCAGCTGGGTCGGTCTTTGCAGCCACTGAGTCCTTTGGTGAAAACTCTGCCTTCCCTGGGCTCTCCCTGCCTTCCCTGGGCTCTCCCTGCCTTCCCAGCACATGTGAAGGATCCAGAGTCCTTTTGTCCTCCAAACAAAAGCAAGTGGGTTGGCAGTTCCTGCGCCGTGTTTGCAAGGGCTGAGTCACCCCGACTGCTGGAATTCAAAAATATTGAGGGAGCTTTCTGCAAACAGGAAGAAAACTGCTCCGACTCTTGGCTCGGGCTGGAGCCTCGTTGGGAGCAGTGAGAACACTCAGGAAGGCCGTGGGCTGTGCCAGCACCGCCACCTTCCCCCCCTGGCAGGGGCTTCTAGCAGAGAGCCTGGTGCCTTAGTCACCTCCTGGCAGAGCACAGCCCTGGCTCCTGGGTGCTGTGGCTGCAGAGCTGCTTGGCCAGCGGCCCTGGTGGTTTGGGTGGCAGCCCTGGTGGTCCCCCCCCGACCTGCAGGTACCTGCAGGAACCCCCACACCCATTTTGTGAAGAGTGAGGGCAGGGGGTGGGGTGGGCAGAGCGCCGGAGTCCTCACCTGGCGGGTGCTAAGGAGAATTCCTGCGGCTCCAAGCCCCTCTCCTGACCCCCCCGTGCCCCCCCGTGTGCCCTGCAGTGTTTGAGAACAGCAGCAAGATCGTCATCGTGATGGAATACGCCAGCAAGGGCGACCTGTACGACTACATCAGCGAGCGGCAGCGGCTCACGGAGCACGAGGCGCGGCACTTCTTCCGCCAGGTCGTGTCCGCCGTCTACTACTGCCACAAGGTGGGCTGGCCCCGCCATTCCCACGGCATTCCCGGGGGGGAATCACCGGGATCGGCTCCTGAGTGCCCTGCAGGGCCACCTCCAGGCAGAGGGGCAGCAGCCGGGGCCGAGGGGGGGATGCAGAGCCCGACAGGGAAGCTCAGCCTGGGCTGGGAGGTGGAAGGAGCTCGTGGCTGTTTGGGTTTTCCAGGAGAGGGGTCAACCCTGCCTCTTATCCGGGGGTGTGGCAGAGCCCCAGCAGCTTTTGGGGAGTGCTGGGCCTCGGCTCTGGCTGCTCTGGTGTGGGGGTGACTAACCTGGCCAGGGAGTTGTCACCTCCTGTCCCACCCGCCCAGAAGGAGCCGCCCAGGGCTGTCCATGGCACTGGGAGCTGAGCCCTGGGTCACCCGTGTTGTTCCTGAAGGGAATGTGAAGCTACAAACCCCCTCCAGGGCTGTGGGATGAGCTGTGCCTGCCCTGGAAGGACCCTCGAGCCTGAGGGTCTCCCTGGAGGCCGTGCCAGGCTATTCCCCAGTCCTTGGCAGGGGTGGGGGGTTGCAGGACACCTCCTGCACCCAAACCAAACTGGGGTCCTGCTTAGCTGGGCAGCAGCAGGTCCTGGCAGAGCCCAGAGCTGTGCCCACCGTGCCTGGGTGGAGCTGGCACCGGGCACTGTCCTGCCTGGGGAGGGTGGAGGAGCCCAGGGTGGCACCTGGGGCAGGTATTTCTGAGCAGCACCAGGAGCTGGCAGCGCCCAGGCCGGGACGTGGTTTCCAGCCTGTCTTTGGTGGCACACCCAGGGCTGTTTGCTGCTCCTGTGCCCTGTTTGCGTGTGCCTGTGAACGGCAGTGACCTCCCCAGGGGCCTGGCTTTCCCTTCCTCAAACACTCCGTAAACTAACCCTGGCTCTCCCTCCCCTCCCCTCCCGCAGAATGGGATCGTCCACAGGGACCTGAAGCTGGAGAACATCCTGCTCGATGCCAACGGCAACATCAAGGTGAGGGGTTGGCAGAGCCCGGGGTGTCACCCACCCAGCCTGGGGTGTCACCCAGGGGGTGCTGCCCAGCTTGGAGGTGGCCACAACACCCCGGAACCCCAGGGAAGGCGCTTCCCGGAGCTCTGGGAGTGCTGGCGTCACCCGGAGCGCTGTTTTCCCGGGAAAAGGGGAGCCAGGAGGGCACCTGTGCCTGCCCCTGCTATCTGAGGCGGCCCAGCTTCAAAGCTGCTGTAAAGCCATAACTTATAATTGCCTGCTGATAAGAGGGGCAAAGTCTGAGAACCCAGGTCAGTGCAGCTGGATGAGAAAGGTCTCTCCAGGGGAAATTCCCAGTTCCCGTAAGGACCGGCCAGGCTGGAGGAGGGAGGTGTGAGGCAGTTTCTGGCTCTGCTGGCCCCGAGTGATGCTTTTTGCTGCAGCTGCCAGGGAGGAAGGGCACACAGCGTGGCCCCAGCCAGGGCCCTGTGTGGTTGGTGATGACAGGCTGTGGGGTTTATCTCTGCAAGGGATAATTTTGCAATTGGGAGCCCGCACGCAGCCACTGCACCTCCTGCCTGGTGGCAGTGACAGGGGTAATGAGGATAACGAGCACCTGTGTGCAGGCTGGAGCTGACAGGGACAGCCTGGGGTGGCTGGGAAGGAGCTGGAGGAGAGCCCGGCAGCTCTCCCTCCAACCTCACCTTTCCAGCTGCCTCTGCTCCCAGGGATGGGACAGAGGGGCAGAGCCACGGGGCAGCTGCTGCAGTGGCTGGGACGAGCTTTTTGGGAAGGGGAGAGGGACAGGAGCAACCTCAGGGGGTGGAAAGCCAGGCTGGTGGTGCTCCCCGAGGAGACTGAGGGCACCCAGCACCACGGTTCGTACCTGGAGAGCTCCCGGTGGCAAAGCTGCTCCAGCTGCACAGGGAAGCTTTGCTGCTGGATAACAGCTGGAAAAATGTCTCTCCAGATTGCAGATTTTGGGCTGTCCAACGTTTACCAGCAGGACAAACTTCTGCAGACCTACTGTGGGAGCCCCCTGTATGCATCCCCCGAAATCATCAACGGGAGGCCCTACAAGGGCCCGGAGGTGGGTTGGGTCTCATCCCCTCATGTGGGGGGGATTGGACTGGGGGAAACGCTGGGTGGTTTGGGATAACGGGTCCCCTGAGACTGGACACTGCCTGGACACACAGTGGGGTGGATGTGCTGGGGGGGAGGTGGCTGGAGCTGGTGCTGCCCCACGGTCTGTCCTCCCCCGGGGCTGTTGCCACTCCAGGAGCCCCCGCTGAGGCTCTGGCAGGGAATCCTGCCCAGGTGGGGTGTGGGCCAGGGCAGCCTGGTCCTGCTGCCCCCCCTCCAGGCTCCCCTGTCCCCCTGGCAGGTGGACAGCTGGTCCCTGGGCGTGCTCCTCTACATCCTGGTCCACGGCACGATGCCCTTCGACGGCCACGACTACAAGACTCTGGTCAAGCAGATCACGAGTGGGGACTACCGGGAGCCCACCAAGCTGTCAGGTAGGCAGAGCCCCAGCCTGCTGCATGTGCCCCCCTCCCTGTGCCCCCTTCGGTGCCTGACCTGCCTGTCCCCCAGACGCCTGCGGGCTGATCCGCTGGATGCTGATGGTGAACCCCGAGCGCCGCGCCACCATCGAGGACATCGCCACGCACTGGTGGGTCAACTGGGGCTACAAGGTGCCCGTCGGGGAGCAAGAGCTGCTGAGGGACGGCGAGTCCCCCCTGGCCACGGTGGCGGAGTGGCTGCGCCGCTCGTCCCGGCCCCTGCTGGAGAACGGCTCCAAGGTGCGCTGCTTCCTCAAGCAGCACATCCCCGGCGTGACCCTGGAGCGCCAGCGCTCCCTCAAGAAGTCCAAGAAGGAGAACGACGTCTCCCACGCGCTGCAGGAGGTGCCCGTGGCCCCGGAGAACCCCTCCAAGTCCATCCTCAAGCGGCCCAAGGGCATCCTGAAGAAGAGGAACTCCTGCGAGCAGAAGGTGCCCAGCCCCGGGCCCCCGCCAGCATCGCCCGCGGGAGAGGCGAAAGGGGAGGACGGGGAGGGGGTCGCCGCGGGTCTCACCCGGATCCTGTCCTCTGGAATGCTGCCCTGCAGCACGGGCATCGCAGCAGTGCCCAAGAAGGGAATACTGAAAAAGCCGCCGACGAGGGAGTCGGGGTATTACTCGTCCCTGGAGTGCTGCGAGTCCGGGGATGTGCTGGACGCCGGGAGCTTGGACCTGGACGGCAACGTGTTTGCCGACAGCCCCTCCCCGGGGCAGGGCCCGCAGGGTCTCCCCGCCCGCCGCAAAGGCATCCTCAAGCACAACGGCAAGTTCTCCTCGAGCAGCTCCGAGCCCGAGAGCCCCCCCGGGCAGGGCTTCGGGGGCTTCAGCGAGGTGCCCCTGCCCCAGGCGCCCCGAGCCCGCCCGTCCAGCGCCGTCAGCGAGGACAGCATCCTGTCCACCGAGTCCTTCGACCAGCTGGACCTGCCCGCCCGGGCCCCCCCCGGCGCCGGGGGCATGCGGGGCTGCGTCTCCGCCGACAGCCTGCTCCGGCTGGGGGAGGAGGAGGAGCTGGAGGAAGGGCGGAGGCTGCGCCGCTGGACTGTGACCCACTGCCGGAGCCCCCTGGCAGAGAGCAGCCTGTCCCTGGCGGGCTGTGACCGTGTCCCCGAGGGGTTCCGCTGCGCCGTGGCCGTGGGAGGGAAGCTGAGCTGAGGGTCCCCCCCGGGGGTGCTGCGTTCTGGGGGAGGGGGGCCGAGCCCTCCCTGCCCCGGGGCTGCTGGTGCTGCTGACCCACGTCCCCACGTATTTATTTGGCAGCCTCGTGCCCCTCGGTGCCCCAGGGCCGGGACATTCAAGGGACCAAAGCTCCGAGTGCCCCCCGTGGAGGGGCTGGGGATGCCCCTCGCCGCCGTCCTCCCCTCGCAAACGGGCTCATCTCATCTCGAACCAGGGGGTTTGGGGGATTTGTTTTCTTCTTTGCACTGGTTTTTTTTTTTTTTTTTGGCTGCACAAGGTCACGGGTGGGGCGGGTGATATACCTCAAACGAGCTGGAGATGTAGCAGGGTGCTGGCGAGGGGCTCCAAGGTGCTGCCCGTGGGCTGGGCTCTCGGGACGTGCTGGCAACAGGGGAGCCAAACCGCCCAGGCCACGGCTCTTCCCTCTCCTGTGCTGGGAAACACAACTGGATCTGGCCAAAACCCCAGGCTGAGGCAACGCTCTGATGCCAACATCTATTATTGGAATGCTGAGGAAAAAAAGAAAAAAGAAAAAAAAAAAGGTGCCTTTGGTGAGGCACCGTGACTTTATTTATTGCCTTTGTCCAACTGATGGAAAGTGTCAGCAGCACGGGCTGTGTCTGGCTCCAGCACGGCCTCCCAGGGCTGTTTTTTGGGAGCTGTCTGTGTCCTTGTCTCACCAGGCTCCGTTGCACTATTGCCATGTGTCTGCTGGCCCTTCTCCCTTCTCCAGGGCGTGTGTGTGTTTTCCCTCCTTCCTGCAACTGTGGTCTGGAGAAAAACCATTAAATTAAAAGCAAGTGGTAAATGTGAGTTGTTCTCTTGGGTGCCGGGGGGGGGGGGGGGGTGGGGGGGGGGGGGGCTGCCTGGAGCTGCCTGTCCCAGCTCCTGTGCTGGTGTGACACCCCCATACAGCGTGTCCTAAGCCCCTCTAGTGCTCCAGCACATCCCAAACTGGGTTTGAGTGGCGATCCCGCAGTGCTGGGTGGTGCTGAGCTGGGACAGCCCTGATCTGGGGGCTCTGGGAGGGGGTCGGGCTGGTTTTTAAGGCTGAGCAGCTGCTGCTGCTGAACAAGCAGAGCTCAAACTTTGGGGAAAGCTGTGTTGGAGGCAGATGGGTGTGGGGGGGAGGAGGACCCCCTTCTCCACCCTGCCCTGGTGACCGTGGGCGGCCCTGCTGTCCCAGCTCTGCTCCCAGACCTTCCCATTGGAGCAGGGTGGGTTTGGATTTGTGACACCCCCCCAGGTTTTGGTGGCTGGAGGTGCCTCCTGGGCTCCTGCCATCACCTCTGACAGCACCTGCAGGAACCTCAGCTGGAGGAAGGCCCAGCCAGGCCGAGCCCCAGCTGCCAGAGCTGCCCCCTCTGCATCCCTTTCCTTTATCCCCTTCTCCCGCTGCGCCATTGAAACCTGGTTTATTGCTCCATAAAGCCCTGTGACCCTTTCCCGTTTCCAGGCGGGTTAATAGGAGGCATTTCAGGTCTCCGGGGGGCAGGGGCAGGGTGGCAGGGCTGCCTGCCCGGAATGCCGACCCTCGTCCCACCAGGCTGCAGCCGGAGAGGGGGGGTCACCACGCTCGGCCCCCCGCCGCGCATTCCCCGCGTGCTTCCCGAGCCATCAAGAAACGCTGGAGCGGTTAAAGCTGTTCCCAGGGCATCCAGCTCAGCCAGGACAAAGTCCCGGTGCCCTGTGGGGTGGGATGAGCCGGGGGTGCAGCACCAACAGGGCTCCAGGAGCATCCCAAGGCGGGCGTCGGGTCGGGCTGAGCTTTAACAGCCGCTGAGGGACGGAGATTCCTTTTTGGGAGGCGTCTGTGGGTTTGGTTTTGGAGCATCCCCGGGCCTGTTCTGTTAATGATTTTCAGGAAAACACCCGTGTGTGCTGGTTTCGGAGCTGTGGCAGCTCCGGGTGGGCACCACGTGGGTGTGGGGCACACGCTGCCCACCCCATGCCCTGTCCCGGTGTTTGTGCTGGTTTGGGAGCAGCTTCTGGTCAGCTCAGCCCATCCTGGGGCTGCTTTGGGGTCCCTGCCCACCTTATCCTGGGCCACAGCGCTGGGCAAGGGTGGGCAATGCTGTAGGAGGGGTGAAGGAGGCAGCCTGAGCCTGGAGTCATCCTGGAATCCATGGGAGGGGTGCAGTGAGTGCTGCCCACCCTGCCGGTGCCCCCTCCCCTTGCTGCTCCTGACATTCCCCCACCAGCCCTTGGAAACGCTCCTTTCATCCCAGCCCTGATTTCCGCTGCCCCTGCCCCTCCTGTCTGGCAGCTGCCCCCCCCCAGGCGGGGGCTGAGCCCCCCTTTCAGACCACCCCCATTATCCAGGGCTCTTTTATCCAGCCCTTTCATCCCGAGGGTTGGCAAACCCTCCGCTTCCCCCCCGCCCCGTCCCTGCCGTGGGTGTTTGTTTGAGGCGGGGGACAATGACCTCAGAGCAGCGTTTTGCTGGGAAAATGCCATTTTTTGGGGGTGACTTCAGCCGACCTGCCACGTCCTGCTGCCCAAGGGTGTGTGGGAGCGGGGCTGTGCTCCTGCCAGGGTGGCTGGGGGAAGAGGGAAACGGGGAGAAACGGGGAGAAACACCCAAAGGTAAATGGTCCTGGGGGATGAGGTGATGCTGGAGAGTTTGGAGCACCGAGTGCTGCCCTGTGGGTTTATCCCAACCGGTGTGAGCTTCCCTTGTCGCTGTCCCAAGGGATTATCCAGGTGAAGCCAGTCCACAGCAAAGTGAGGGACAGCCTGGACCTCTCCTGCTGGTCCTTGGGGTACTGGGGGAAGCTGGTGCATCCCCACTGCTGCCTTCCAGGGCCTGGTGCTGCAGACACTTCCAGAGGGCACCTGTAGGAGTTCTCAGGCATGGAAATGGTGCGTTTCCAGGGATTTTTAAGGGGGGTGTAGGGGTGGGTGGTGTGTCTGTGGCTCAGTGAGTCACTCAGACCCCAGGCTCGCTGCACCACGCCCAGACCCACAACCCCTGCTCATCTGGGGGCCTTTTGGGGAGCCCCATCCCTGCGTGACATCCACGAGCATCCCTGAAAAAAGGGAGAAAAGGGGATTTTGGGGCCGGAGCAGCCGTGAGCTGGCTGAGGGAGCAAAGCCAGCGGCCCCAGCAGCACTCCCAGCAGGAGAGGCTTTCCCGGCAGAGCCGTGGGCACTCCCCTGGCCCGGGGGCGCTGCCTGAGTCACCCCGTGCTCCTGCCCGGGCTTGTGCCGGGGAGCCCGGATGCGCCGAGCCCATATTTGGGAGCGGGGCAGGCGGAGCAGGATCGGGGAGATGCGGCGTGGGAAGGGGGGGATGCCTGTGACCCCGGGGACAGCCCGCAGCAAAAGCCACGCACAGAACTCTGCCTCTGGCCAGAATCATCCTCCCACCGCTGGAACAGAGGTGGCTGAAGGGCCACGGCCAGTCCTCATTAACTGCCAGCTCCTGATGATGCCCAGGGCACTGAGCCCGGGGGTGCCCCTGGTGCTCTGGGGTTTTGGGTGTTATCCCCCCTCGGGCCGTGCCTGAGCTGCTGCCATTCCTTCCTGCAGGAATCTCCCCTTGTTGGTTTTGTCTCCCTCAGGTTTTCTGCTGGAGCATTTTCTGTTTGACACACAATGGGCCCGGAGCCAACAACAGTTCTGAGACATTTTGTCATTACTCTGAGTGCCGGAACAATTAACACAACAAAGCTGAGATGTTTCTTTGCCTGTGATTCTTTCAAAGTGGGGCTTTTATTTTCTTTTTTTAACTTTTTTTTTTTTAAAGGTGCCTCCAAAACCACCTGTATGATTGCTGGATTTCTTTGAAGATCTGAAGAAGAGAAATCCCCATATGAAAGTCCTCCCGTCTTCAATGGCCCTTTGCTGCAGCCTGGAGCGGCCCAAAGAGGGGAGGAAGCGGCACCCGGAAACTTTGATCCTGTTTCCCCGGAGCACGAGGAATGGTTGGATCAAATCTGAGCCTGAGACCTAAAATGTGATCCCCAGACTCTGCTGGGGACCAGGTAACTGAGCACTGGTGATCACCCTGAAGCCCCAGTGCCCTCCCAGAGCTGTGGTGATGCTGCTCGGGCTGCTGGGTCTCTGTTGGAGGAGGCAGCTGGTGGGATTTCTCTGAGCAGGATGGCTCTGCCCATCTCTCCGTGGCACAAGCTCTGGGATGTGCAGTGCCAGGGCTGGGCAGTGCAGTGCCAGGTCCTCTCTGCAGCAGGATGGGGAAGAAGGATCAGGTCCAGCACTGCTGGAGCAAATTCTGTGGCTGTGGGGCCATCCAGCCACCTCCTGCCCTTCCCACCACTTGCAGGATCATCCAGCCCATCGGGCCTGCCCTGAGCTGGTGGGGTGTGAGAGCCACAGCTCAGAGATTCATGGAATTTCCTGAGCTGGAAGGGACGCACGAGGATCACCGAGTCCAACCCCTGGCCCTGCACAGACACCCCAACAATCCCACCCTGTCCCTGAGAGCATTGTCCAAACCCTCCTGGAGCTCTGGCAGCCTTGGGGCCGTGCCCACTGCCCTGGGGAGCCTGGGCAGTGCCCAACCAGCCTCTGGGGGAAGAACCTTTCCCTGAGATCCAACCTGACCCTGCCCTGGCACAGCTCCAGCCGTTCCCTGGGTCCTGTCCCTGCTCCCAGGGAGCAGAGATTTGGAGCTGCCCCTCCGAGCTGTCCCCAGACACCGCTCACCCGAGTGCCCTGCCCCGCACATCCCATCCCTCCCCGGGCCCCGGGGATGCCTGGCACGGCTGCAGGGATCGCTGCCACATGGCAGCAAACCCCCAGTGGTTTCCCAAGCGCTTCCCCCGCGTGCAAAGCAGGCACGGGAGGCTCTGGGCTGGTGGAGCTCCCACGGGGACGCGGCGAACCGGCCCCGCTGGCTCGACCGCCCGGCGAGAGCGGGGCTGCCACGGGGCCGTGGCACACCCAGATGCTGTCTGTGTGCCAGGCTGCCAGCCCGTTCCTCCCCGCCGGAGCCGGCTGAACCGCTTCCTCCGGCTGCGGGCTCGGCTCCGTGCGGAGAGAGGGGAGGCAGGAGCAGGGTCCGTTCCTCCGCAGGCAGCGGGCGGGGAGTCGGGGCTCGATGCTGCTGCGGGAAGTTGCCAGCGGGATGCAAACCTGCCCCTGACACGGCAGCGGTGTCCCAGCCCGGGCAAACACCGGGAGTGAGAAGCAGCCCCCCTGGAGGGTCCTGTGGGAGGTGGGGGTTGGCATTCCCGCTGGAGAAGGGCAGTCACACGGAGCTCAGGTGCCTGGAGATGCAAAGCGTTGCCTCGCTGGATCGTCAGGACTCCCAGCCTGCCTTGGCTGGGGACCAGCACCCCGAATTCGGGACCAGCCAGGTCCAGCCCTCTCAGGAAACCTGCCTGGGTGCTTCTTTGCATTCACGGGCAACCAGATACGCTGGGAAAATCACCCTCCCCTGCAGCTCCCAGCGGGCCCTCACTCCTTTCCCGTGTGAGAATGGGAGAAGCTCCCTCACAGTGCTGGGCTGGGGGATGGAGGCTCCCGGATGACGCAGCAATGGCTCTTGGGAGAAGTGTTTTGGAGCCTCCTGCTCCCCCCTGTGCAGGCTCAGGCAGCCCCGTGCCCGCTGCTGTGCACCCCCAGCTGGGAGGGGGGTGCTGTTGGGGCACATCTGGCTTTTCCCAGGAGCGTGGAGCCCTGGAGGTGCTGGCCTGGGCACTGCAGAGATGCCATCCTGGTGACGTGGTGGTGAGAGAAGGTGTCACAACCCCTGGTGACCCGCAGGGCTGCCTGAGTCACTGAGCTGTGCCCCGGACAGCCACAGTGCCTGAGGGGGGAGAGCCAGAGGCTTGTGCAAGCCTGGGGAGCCCCAGGAGCAGCCAAAGGGCTGGGATGAGGGGCTGTGGCTGGGGACACACCGTGGCTCATCCCCACACCTCTGTGCTCTGCCCACAGCTCTTGGTGCTGGGAGGGCACCAGGGACAGGGGCAGCAGGGCCATCACGGACCCTCTGGGAGGCCTGGGGGCAGCAGGACCCTGAGGATTTGGGCAGTGCCTTTGGCCTGGCACGGGACACTGAATGTTTCAGTTGATGTTTCAGTTGATGTACACTTGGACCAGCTCACAGCTGTGAGGGTGACAGGGCTGACACAACCCAGCCATGGTCTGTCTCAGCTGGTTGGTCCCTGGAGTTCAGGAGGTTTGAAGGGAGGGGAACAGAGGGGCAGTTCCAATCTCTGCTCTCTCCAGGACCTGAGGGAATGGCTGGAGCTGTGCCAGGGCAGGGTCAGGTTGGATCTCAGGAAAAGGTTCTTCCCCCAGAGGGTGGTGGGGCACTGAACAGGCTCCCCAGGGCAGTGGGCACGGCCCCAAGGCTGGCAGAGCTCCAGGAGGGTTTGGACAACGCTCTCGGGGACAGGGGGGGGATTGTTGGGGTGTCTGTGCAGGGCCAGAAGTTGGATGGATGATCCTTGTGTCTTTCCAGCTCAGGACATTCCATGATTTGTGATTCCCTGCTCCTCCTGGGTGGTTCTGGGGTCGGGGGGGCTCCAGGACACAGTTGGACCCCCCAGCCCCCCCAGGCTCCGATCGACCCGAGAGTCCCGTCAGCCCTGGGGGAGCCCCTCGATCAATTATTTCTCTAATCTTATCTAACTGTCTTTCTCCTGCTTTCCCTCGTGTGCCTTCCCCTCCCTGCCTTCCCCTCCCTCCCCGGTGCTTTGTAGCCTCCCGACAGCCCCGCTTCCCCCCTCCAGCCCTCTGCTTTGATCCTCGGAAGAAGCAATTGATCCTCCTTATCTTTATTGTGGTACAGACATTCCCAGCGCTGCCCTTAATTAAATTCCTCTTCATTTTCCTCCAGAAGCCTTTCTTTGCCCCAACCCCCAGACGAGTATTTATTTTTAAACGTGCAATTAAATTATTAGGGCGGCCACGAATGTGACAGCGGCCGGATCCACCGGGGCTCTGCTCGGGTTCAGGGGGTGAACTTGGGGTTTCCCCCTCCCCACACAGCCCCCCCCAGGGGCTGTGGGGTCCACACGAGCTTGAGGTGCTGCTGGTCACTGGTCACTGGTCACTGGGCACAGTGGCATGGGCACAGGAACACAGGCACTGGCCATGGTGGAGCTGGCACTGCTCACAGTGCCACTGGCACTGGTCAGAGTAGCACAGGGACTATCCATTGTGGCATTGGCACTTGCCATAGTGACTTTGGGACCAGGCACTGGCACTGGTCACGGTGGAACAGGCATGGCCCCCAGTAGCACCTGGCCACGGTGGCACTGGCACCTGCTACAGTGGCATTGGAACCTACCATGCTGGCACTGCCCATGGTGGCACTGACGCTGGTCACAGTGCCATGGAGATGGACCACAGTAGCACAGGCACTGGCCACGGTGGCCCTGGCACTTGCCATAGTGTCACTGGCACCTGCCCTGGTGGCACTGGCACCTGCCCTGGTGGCACTGGCCCTGTCCCCTCCAGGTGAGCGCCGGTGCCCCCGGCTGTGTCTCTGCACCGCTTTAAGCTTTTCCGCTCGGAAATTTTCCCTCCTCCAGACACTTTGACCTCGGGGGCAGGGAGTATTTTTCATGTGGAGCAGCCGAAATTCCCCCGGAGACAGCGCAGGAATGCGAGGCATGTTATCCTTGGTACCAGCTCTTTCTTTTTACGGCCTAAGCTTGGCCACGCCGGCGGGGGGGAGGGCGGCCGGGGTCCCGCGCCGTTCCCATCCATGACTGCCAACATCCCCCCCCAATCCCCTTCCTCCTCATCCCTCTCCTCCTTGGGAAAACTCCCCCACGCTGTGCCAGGTTCCCGGGTCTCCGTGCCCGGTTTGGCAGCGGGCCGAGCTGGGGGCGAGGCGGTTCCGGCAGCACCCCCAAAATGAGGGGAGCACCTCTGGGTCCCTCCAGGGCTTGGTGCTGCCCTCCTTGGGAGATCCCCGGGGGATATTCTGGGAGCTCTCCCGGCAGAGCAGAGGGCAGCGAGTGCGTTGTTTCATCGTGCCGGGCTCGTGCCGTGGGAGATAAATCACTGCCCGTCCGTCTCCGTGAAGTGCAATTACCCCCGAGATACCGAAGCAATTTATTAGGATTACTCCATCCGGGCTCGCCGCGGTGACAGCAGGTCACACACACGCCAGGCAGGGCAAGGGGGGCAGTGCCCCCGTGGGACCTGGGCACCCCGGGGCACCTTTGGGTGGCACTGATGGGACCAGCCCCAAACGGGGAACAGAGGGAAATCCTGCAGAGGGAGGGGCTGTGCCTTCGGGAGCGGTGCCACCTCAGGTGTCCCTCGTCCCCATACCCACCCCTGATGTCCCCAGTGATCTCTGTCCTGCCCTGAGCGCGGTCCCTGCGTGTGCCCAGTCACCCCCTAGGATGCCACACCAGGGAAGGGGTGGCTCAGCCCCGGGGGCCACGAAGGTCCCCGTGCCCGGTGGCACCAGCCTGGCGTGTCCCGCAGCCCCCGTCCCTCGGCCTGATCCCGCTCTCAATAGCGGCGCGGGAGCCCAGCTGCAGCTATTACATAAAACGCAATTAGCGCGGGGCGAGGGAGGCCTGAATGGCATTAAGGAATTCCTCCCGGGCTGACGTCAAAGCTTCACCTCTCCTCCCAGCGCCCGCACAAAGGGGGCCCTTTATGAGCCCCCCCGAGCCCGCTGTGCCGGTGCCCGCCGGGAGAATGCGAGTCCTCAGGGAGCCCCGGGCTGCACATGCCATGCGGGAATTGTCCCCGCGGCCGGCACGAATGTCACCAGCGGCTCCCCGGCTCCCAGCGCGGCGTTGGCTGGCTCCCACCTCCCCCTCGCTGGGCATGCGAAGGTGCCAGTGGCCCCGTGTGCCAGCTGCTTGCCCGCGAGAGGGGGGCTCGGCCGGGTGCCCTGCCCGGGGAGCGGGAGGATGCTGGAGGGGCAGTGGGGTGTCAGTCCCGGCTGGCACGACCCATCCCTGGGGCAGGATGGAGTGGAAGTGAGGAGCAGGGAGAGGGACAGGCAGGTCTGGGAACGGGAGGTGCCGAAATTCCCGCTGGGATGGGATCACCCAGCAGGCTGGAGGAGCTCTGACGCTGCCCCAGCACCGGGGCCTCCTCTGGCTGCTGCCAAGGAGGTCACAGGGACTGGGCAGTGCCAGGACATGACCGTTCTGATGTGAATGTCCCCAAGTGTCACCGGCTGGGGGGGGTGGCAGGACTCACATGTGTGGGGCTCCTGCCCCAAAATCTCCACAGCAATTGTGTGACAGGACAAGGGGTAAAATGGTTTTAAACTAAAAGAGGGTTGGTTTAGATGGGATATAAGGAAGGCATTTTTTAAAATAAGGGTAGTGAGGCCCTGGCACAGGTTGTCCAGAGAAGCTGTGGCTGCCCCATCCCTGGAAGTGTCCAAGGCCAGGTTGGACGGGGCTTGAAGCAACCTGGGCTAGTGGAAGGTGTCCCTGCCCAGGGCAGGGCATGGAATTGGATGAGCTTTAAGGTCTCTTCCAACCCAAACCATTCTGTGATTCTCTGGCTGCTGGTGCTGAGCTGTGGCAGCGCTGCGCTGCGGGCAGGAAGGGGTTAAGGCGCTAATTGGGGTGGGGGACTCCACCCCGGGCCCCCACCCTGCCCCTGCCCCAGTCCGGCGGGAAGAGAAGATGCTCCGGGATCTGCGGTGGGGACCGGGGGCCCTCCTGTGGCTGCGGGTCCGCGGTGCCGCGTCCCCCTGCCCGCAGCCCCCTCTGCCTCTGCCTGCGACGCTGAGAACCACCAGCAAAGAGGGTTTTTCCCCATCCACTTCCCTCCCTCCGGGCGTGGGGCTGGCAGGGCGGGGGCAGCTGCACCCCTGGGGTCCCCCCAGCGGGCTCTCAGGGTCTGGGCTCAGTGGATGGAGCTGAGTTTAGGGAGCTCTGGCTTTGGAATTTAATTATTCTCTGCTTTGTTCTTACAGGTGTCTCATGGAGAAAGGGCTGACCTGGTGCAAGGTGCTCCTGATTGGGACGTGGCAGGGCAGGGAGCGCTGCTGGACCCCAGGATGGGGCAGGTCCCCCACTCTGGGCAGGCCCACCTCGCTCAGATGAAGTTCATGGGGATAAATGTGACTGTTCTCCCCAGAGAGGGGGTGCCCTGGGTGTCACCTGCAGCAAGGGGCCTCAGGGAGCCTCCACAAAGGTGTGGCCTGTCCATACCTGTGTGTCCCACCTGGGCCCAGCCCTGCTCCTGCACAGGGGCCTGGCTGAACCTCCTCTCTGATCCCAAACCCGTGTCACCTCCCAGGTGCCAGAGGAGTTGTGATGCTCAAGCTGTGCTGGTGTGAGAGGTGATGCTCAAGTGCTGAGGGGATGCAGGGTGGGCTGGCTTGGCCCTGGGAGCAGAGAGGAGGTGGGAGAGGACAGGCAGCTTCTCCTCCACGTGCACCTGTGAGACCCCCAACAACCCTCCCCAGCTCCCTGTGCTCTGTGCCAGCCCTGGGAAGTGCCATGGAAAAATGTTAAGGGCCAAATTCTCAGCTGAGGCAAAGTGGTTCAGGGCCTCAAAGCCGGTGGTTTTGCACCAGAGGAGGACCTGGCTGTGCACGTACTTTTATATATATATTTATATATATATGTGTGTGTATAGATATATTACATAAATATATATGTATGAAATAATTTAAGAAACATCCGAGACAGCATGCTGTGCTCTGGGGTGGGGCTGGGAGGCAGCTGCTCCCCCACCCCTGTACCCCACCAGCTTTGATTCACAAATGGAAACAGAGTCTGGAATTAAATTAAAAACCGCACACACGCACACACACACGACACGGGGCAGAGGCTGCAGAACTCAGAGGCGTGATGCCAGAAAGTCCAGGTGTCCCTGAAGAGATTGGATCAACTAAAGCCAAAGAACTGGGAAATAAATAAATGAAACCAGCGGAGGGGATCTCGCTCGTGCCGGTGCCGTCGGCAGCACCGGGTCCCCTGTGTCTGCCCAGCCCCTGTGGGGACACCAGGACGCTGTCACAGCCCTGCTCTGTCCTGGCTGGGCTGTGCTGGGCTCGGGAGAGGCTGGTGGGACGTGTGTGTCCTGCTGTGTTTGCCTTGGACCCGCTTTCTCCATCACCACGTGCTTTGCTTTCGCTCCATCCCAGAACTGAGCTTTTCGCCACCTTGGTCGTCAAGGACGAAAGGGAAAACCCAGCCCCAATTAACCCCTCTCCTCTCTCTGCAGGAAGCTCTCCCGGAGCCAGGCTTGGTCCAGCTCAATCCTTCCCACCACCTGAAGAGCCCTGCAGAAGATCTCCTTCCCACGGACTTCGGGGTAAAAAACCATCCAAAACCCCCCTAGAAAAAAACCCAGCGCCCCATAAACCAAAAATGTCTTCCAAAACTCCTCCTCGTTCCCCATCCCACCCTCCCCAAGCACCCCAGAGGACTGACTGAGGGATCCCAACTCCAACTCCAGGCGGCCACCGAGGGCCGGGAAAGCAGCCGGACCGAGCGCGTGAAGAAACAACCCCGAAGGCTTTTGGACCCCCGTGCCCTCCTCCCTCTCCTCGGCGGGAAATGGAAAGCCTCCCCCCCGAGCTGCGGGATCAGCTGGGGAGCAGGACGTGCTCCAGGAAGTAGCTGATGGAGTCCCAGTGCTTCCAGAGGAAGAAGAGGAGGAGGACGAGCAGGGCGGTGCTGAGGATGCGCATGCGGGTCTTCATGAGCGGCGTGATGAAGTTGGCGATGGTGGAGACGAAGACGAGCAGCACGGCCATGAGGGCCAGGATGACGTTGATGAACTTGCCCAGCAGGGCCCGGGCGTTGGCGTTTTCCACCCCTTCCAGCTGCACCACCTGCTGCTGCTGCTGCTGCAGCTCCAGCTTGGTCACCCGCGTCAGGCAGGACTCCACGGCCTCCTGCGAGGGGCGGCGGGTCAGCGGCTCCAGGGATGCCCCCCCCAGGGATTTCGGTGCCTGTCCCACCCTCCCGGACCTTGCTGTGGGGAGGTTTTGCTCTGGCTGAGCTGGAGGGTTTGGGAGGACCCACCTCAGCAGGGAAAATGAGCCGAACTGGGACGGGGGGACTGTGTTGGCCTGGAGCACCCGGGGACACCAGCACAGCAGGGACTCGCTGGGATTCCTCTTTACAGGGGCATGGGAGTGACAGGACAAGGGGGAAAGGCTTCCCACTGCCAGAGGGCAGGGTTAGATGGGATACTGGGAAGGAATTCTTCCCTGGGAGGGGGGGCAGGCCCTGGCACAGGTTGCCCAGAGAAGCTGTGGCTGCCCCATCCCTGGAAGTGTCCAGGGCCAGGTTGGACGGGGCTTGGAGCAACCTGGGCTAGTGGAAGGTGTCCCTGCCCATGGCAGGGGGTGGAAGGAGATGAGCTTTACTGTCTCTTCCAATCCAACCCATTCTATGGTCTTGGGGACATGGTTTAGTTACCTGCTTCTTGCTGTGACCTGGAGGGTGCCAGGAAAAGGGATCCCCCTTCCCCACCCTCTATCCCAGCCCGGGGTCTCTCCCTCTCCCCGTGGATGGAGGGTGCAGCGAGGGGGCTGAGCCCTCACCCTGCCCTACCTGGATGTCCCGTGCCCTCTCGTAGGACTGGTAGGCCACCTTCTCCTCCATGCTGGCCAGCTCCTGCTTCAGGTTGGTCATTTCGTTCTGGTGCAGCTCCGTGAGGTCGTTCAGCTGCTCCTCCAGGCGCTCGTACCTGTGCAGGAGGGGCACTGAGCTGGGCAGATGTCCCTGAGACCCCCCTGCCCTCCTCCCCCTGTCACTGGGGATGCCACCCGGCCCCTCCAACCCTCCCCTGCTTGTGGCTGCTGAGGGAAAACATCACAAGATCCTCCACGAGGGTCCGGCAGCGAGGAGGGCAGTGGGGACATTCCATGTCCCTGGAATGCAGTGCTCAGCTGGACAAGCCCAGGACGGTGGCTTACGGTCCCCAAAGAGCCCCCCTGGGTGACACAGGCCCCCCCCACCCCTACCTGTACCGCTCCTCCTGCAGGCACTGCGTCATGTAGGTGTAATCCCGCTGCAGCTGCGCCTTGAGGTCCTCCATGGAGTCCTCCAGGTGGGACTGGCTGTCCTTGATCTCCCGCAGCTCCTCCAGGATGGTGTCGAAGTTGTTGTGGTGGCTGTCCAGCGTGTTGGACTTGGGGCTCCCCAGCCCGCCGGGCCCCGCGCCGGAGTTGCTGCCGCCGGCGGAGCCCGACGTGGCGCTGGAACACTCGTCGTCGCTGCCGTACTTGGGGCTGGACACCAGCGTGGCGCTGCCGCTGAGCGCCCGCGAGGCCTCCTCGGGGTGCCCGTCGTCCAGCGTGTCCTTCAGGTGGGCGATGTTGTCGGCGCTGCCGAACTTGTTGCGGATGAGGCTGGCGAACTCGCGCGGCTTGGACACCACGGCCGTGTGGGTGGCCTGGGAGAGCCCCGAGAGGCCGCCCTTGACGCCCTCCACCACGCCGCCGCTGAAGCCGCTGATGCTGGAGCGCACGTTGGCCCCCACGTCCTTGAGGCCCTGGTGCATGTCCCGGAACACATCCTTGGGCTGGCGGGAGGGGCCGTTCTGCTCGATCTCCTTCAGCTTCTTGTGGTAGTGCTCCAGCTTCTTGTGCAGCTGCGCGATGGTCTGCGCCGACTTCTGGTTCTTCTTCTCGAACACCTGCTTGATGCGCGACGCCTGCTGCTTGTCCGCGTTGTTGGCCAGCTTCAGGTACTCGGCCACGTTGTCATCCCGCGCCTCCTGCTCGATCTTGATCTGCTCCGTGATCTTGAGGATCTTCTGGTGCAGGTGCTCGATGGCGGCTTTGGTCCGGTGCGGGTCGGGGGTGCCATCGGGCACGTCCAGGCACACGGTGCCGTCGGCGTCGCCGTGCCCGGCGCCCGGGGGCAGGTTCAGAGTGGTCACGTCCCCCTTGTCCAGCTGCCAGTGAAGAGAGAGCGGGGTCATGCTCAGGGGAGGGAGAAAACACCCCAGGGAGGGGAGAGGAGGGGACAGGGGGCACAGAACAGAGGACAAGCTGGGCAGGAGAATAGTTAACCAGAGCGACAGCGAGGTGTGGGGTTGTTTTCCAAGGTGTTGGGTTGTTTTCCAGCTGGTTGAACATTTCCCAGCCACACCACCCCTGCTGGCATCCCGGGAATACAGCAGTGAGGGAGCAGAGCAGCCAAACAATCAGGGGTTTGGGGCTGGGTTTTCCCAGTGGCTTTCACCAAGGAGCATCTGCTGCCACCAGGAGCTCGCCTTGACTTTCTGCCCCTGCCTCGTGCAGGGACAGGGACCTGCCTTTCTGGGCTGCTGGACTTGCCAGCCAGGGAAAGGAGAGAGGACAACTGGAACCCATCATGAGATCTCCCACCCAAGCAGCAGAGAGCACAGGGATTGAGCAACCCAGAGGTATTTTAGTCTCGCTTTCAGCCTGGCTTTTAGCCTGGATGCCCCCGGGAGTTCAGCCCAAGAGAAACTCTGCCCTAACCCCGAGCTGTGGGTGACTTGGGATCAGCTCCTGATCCCAGAGCTGCAAGTGCAGGGATTCCTTTGCTTGCTTTTCCAATCCTCCTCACCTAGCAATGCCAAACCCCTCTCGGAAACACGAGCTGCCACCCAGGAAATTCGGACAAATGCCGAATTCCATTTTACAGATGGAAAAAAATGGAGCTTTGGGAGAGGAAATCACTTGCCCGAGGCCACATTTAAAATCACTGGCAGGGCCTGGACTGCAACCCAGGTCCTGCCTCGTGCTCTCCAACCCAGAATTGCTGCTTGGCCACTTGGGGGAAAAAAAAAAAAAAATCACTAAATCTTTCCAGTTGCTGGGTTTTATATGCAGATTCTTATGCAAAACCTCCCCGGTTGTATAAATGGCTCCTGGCTTCTAATTAAGAGCTGCTTGAAAGTTAAATACTGTTGGCAGACCTGAATAATTTCTAATTTTCATCACACTTTCCCCGAATGACCCCTTAATAGGGATAATGCTGCGAGATCATTGCTTAGGAGTGTGTTATCTCCAGGAAATGCCGGGTGCAGGAGGGAGGAATGTTCTCAAGATGCTGCTTGTGAACATTCCCATCTGCAGCAGGTCCCCAGGGGGCTTGGAAAAGCCAGAGCCAACATTGCCCTCCTGTTATTTGCTTGCATCTCCTCCTTCCCTGTTGTCCTGCTGGGAGTCTGGGGGTGTTGGAACTTCATCTGGAGCTCTCAGCTTCCTTGGGAGCAGCCCCAGCCCCCTCCCCAAGGGCTTTTGGTCTCTCTCCACTCTGTAATTTGGGGCATAGGCTGGAGGATGAGAGCAAAAGGCAGAACCCAGCTGGACTCACTGTCTGGAGTGGCGATTTTTAAATAAACATTAATTCCCAACAAATTAACTGCCGAGTTTTCAGCCCCTGCTGCCAGGCTATTCTTAGCCACTCAGCCAGGCTGGGCCCTCCACGAAGGGTTTTGCTTTGGTTTCTTATCAAGAGGCAAAAATTAGAAGCAGCAGGAAACAGACTTTTTGCCCAGATGTGCAATTCTGTGCAGAGAGAGAGGGAAAAACTGCCCCTGGCAGAGGAAAAGGCAGGTCCGGAGGTACCGAAATGGGAAACCCCGGCTGGGCCAGCCAAGGGGGGAAGTTTCCAAAGAGGGAAAGGTTTGGGAATCACCCCTGTAAAGCCAATCTTTTGGACGGGAAAGAGAGTAGGTTTAGAGGGGATAGTGGGAAGAAACTCTTCCCTGTGAGGGTGGGGAGGCCCTGGTACAGGGTGCCCAGGGAAGCTGTGGATGCTCCATCCCTGGAAGTGTCCAAGGCCAGGTTGGAGCAGCCTGGGACAGTGGAAGGTGTCTCTGTTTGTGGCAGGGGGTTGGAATAAGATGATCTTTAAGGTCTCTTCCAACCCAAACCATTCTGGGATTTATTCAAGGGATTATATTTGGGAGCACGGGGGGAAGGGAGGGGCAGGATGGGTGGGGAACTGCACAGATCCAGTGCTGCCCATCCATGCTGACAGGGCTGGGATGAAATCCTGTCCCCTGCTCTCTCTCAGACACGGGACAGATCATAGGAAAGGCACATCAGGTTATTGCTTTGAGAACAACAACCAAAAAACCCCACAATACAGATCTCTGCAGCATTAACAGACACTGCCTGCTAAATCCCAGCAAGCCTAAATGACTGTGCAGTGGATTTAACAAGGGGATTATTAAAAGCCACACTTTCCCTACATGCAGAAAGCCCTCTGGTAGGCACATCAAAATGAAAGTGCTGTTTTCCAGCACTTGTTTTCCAGGCAGGCTCGGAGGGGAGGGCCGGGGGTGATGTGGGATGCGGGAGGAATGCAGGACACAGGGAGGGAAATTATTCTTATCAACAGAACTCGGCCCAGGAGAGCTGAGATATGCAAAAGGCTCGAGCTAATAAGCTGAGCAAACAGTGCTTAGAGGGCCATGGCCTGGCACAATTATGCAATGCCGGGTTCTTTGGTGCTGCAGGTTTGGTGGAGGGAAGCCCAGCAGGCAGGTGAGGAGCTTGGGGCCGGGGCCCTGCAGTGCAGCCTCGGGTCTCCCCACACACCCCCGGCTGGATTTAACCCCCTCCTTAAGAAATTGCACAATTATTGCAAAGTTCAGAGTGAAACTCTCGAGGCACTTACTCATACCCTGAACTATTCTGTTTTCCAAGCCCTCCAGCCCACTGGGAAGCACGGTTGGATGAGTTAATGCTGCGGCTCGTGCTGCATCCCCCCCTGGAGCGAGGACTCTCCCTGCAAAGTGTGGCTGTGATTCCTGGCTGGGATACAAAGGCCGTGGGAAGGACCACGTGCACCTTCAGGCATGGGAAAAACAAGTGCCACTGGGCTGCTGAGGGATGCTGGATGCAGGGCACACGCAGGGAGCTGCTGCGCTGATCCGGCGGCTCCACAGCAAAGGTGTCACCGTGTCTGGGTCCCTCTGTGGCTGTGGAAAGCCACGGGGGAGAGAAATGCAGGTGGGTAGTGGACGTGGGGAGGGTGATTTTGGGGCAGTTATTAAATGTGGCCCCTCTTCCCCAGAGCACTTTATCAGTGTAACTCAGCACAGCATCCTGTGAGCCGGCGACTGCCCAGTGTCACCAGGGACACCCAGAGTGTCCCTGTCCCCATCCCCACGTGCCTTCCCAGCCCTGAGCCTCCCGGAGCAGAGCTATTATTCCCACCAGACCCACCCCAGCTGTTGAAAATAGAAGCAGGAGCCCTGACTCACACTTCCCACCCTGCTTTGGAGCCTGCAGCAGTGCCCGAGGCGGGCAGCCCGTGTCCCCCTCCGTGCCCTGCCCGCTCCCCGCTCCCGTGCCATCCCTGGATGGGCACAGCGGGCTGGCAGCAGCTGCCTCCGCTGATTTACCAGCCTGAGAACCATTTTCCTTACATAATGCAGGGAGGCACGTTCGGGGATTCAGCTCCCAGAGGAGTTTCCCACCCGGCACGGCCCTGGTGGGTTCCGTTCGCCGCGCGCCAGGAGCGGAGGTACCGAACCCCCCTCGCGGGTCTCTCTGCCCATCACCATCCTCCCCATCGCCTCACTCGGACCCCAAACAGCTGCCAGGACCTACCTCCATGGCGGGCAGCGCTGGGGTGCCCCGGGGCTAGTTGGCGTGGGTGGCTCGGCCGTGTCCCCACAGCGATGCCCGGGCAGTGCCGGCTGCCATGGCCCGCTGCCCGGCCGGGGAGAAAGCAGCAGCTGATGGCAGCGAAGTTTTGGGGGGAGCAGCAGGGAGGGAGGAGGAGGAGGAGGAGAAGGATGAGGATGACCCCCCCTTGCAGCCCCGGCAGGGCTGGCCCCGGGCGCTGGGGGAGCGCGGGGACGGAGGCGATGGCTCCGCCGGGATTGCCGACTCAGGAAATCTGCCGGAGCTGTTTACAGCTCCCAGCGACTGGAGCTTTCAGGGCTGTAACGCAAAACCCCCCTCTCGTCCCCGTGCCGGGATATTCACACGCCTCCAGCCCCATACGCTGCCTGGGCCCTGACGCAGGGGGTCGGGACGGGCTCCTGGCATCTGCTGTGTCACAGAGCAGCACGTACAGCCTGGGAGAGGCAGGGGGAGGGCATCCATCGGGGAAAAACCCCGGTGGAACAGGCACACGGGGAAAACACAGTCATTCTGCACGGAGCTGGGCACAGCCTGAGGCAGCTAAATGGGAACCAGCCACTCCTGCCGGGACCAGGAGGTGTCTTGGCCCTCGGTGGGCACTGGATGGACCTGGATCTGTCCTCTCCCATGGAGGGAAAGGCACTGACCCGATTCTGCCACGGGAGAACGTGCAAGGCACAGAAAACACACCCAGCTGGCTGACCAGATATAGGTGTTGCAGATTCACGTGCAATTCAAAAAGATATTAAATGGGATGTCTGAAAAGCAAGCGGGGACAGGCTCGGGTACAGCTGAAGCCAGTGGCAGTCTGGAGTCACCCCCTGGGCACTGGGCATTTATTCCTGGGCCAGCAGAGCTGCTGAGGAGCCAAAGGGAAATTCCTGGGTGAGAAGGAGACCTGAAGCTTGAATGTTTGAGTCCCCCCAGACCCGTGGGGCTGCACAGAGCAGGGTTGATGGATCAGGCCTGGATAAGAGCGATTGAAGGAAGCAGAACTGAAGCCCAGAGCTGTGCCAGACCAAAGCCCTGCTGATGCTGAAACCTCAAACCCACTGTGGCCACAGACACGGGGCTAACTGGGACAGGCTCCTTTGCAGCTCTCTGCTTTAGTTATTCCTCAAAAAAAAAAAAAAGCAACGAGGCAACAAGAGCTTAGGGAGTATTTGCAGCCGCCCGTGGAGCGGAGCAGGCCGGAGCGATGAGCTGACCGTGACCTAGATCCATGTGTAATGGGGAAGCCTGTGCTGCTCCCACAGCTGAGCCAGCCCAGCACTGCTCAGCCTCGTGCCCTGCATGGCCTCCTGGGCTGTCCCACAGC